TAAATGTTGTTTATGAAATCTGTCTCGTGAGAGAACCCTATACCCCTGGCACAGAAATCAAGGGCCGCAGTCTTTATGGCGACGAGAAGCACCGGTTCTTCCTTCCGACCACATTAGTAAAAAAAACTTGAAGCATCCCAATCAAACGATCAAACCCACAAAGTCTCAAATATGACCGAATCTGCCGTTCAGCGGACTCCTATCGAAGTTTGGACCTTGATACTATACCACGCGATTGCGACACCACTTCTCCCTTTTGTTGATGAATCCCATAACCACCTCAGCACCAGCATCATACAAACTATCGACCTCTTTTCGGATGCGTGTCCCGCATACAAGACATGCCGGGGTACGGAAAAAACTATCAAGTCATTGCGACTTGTTTGCCGGACGTGGGCATCAATAATAAGTACGAATTCTCTCAATCGTTGTGTCTTTACGATTTTCTGGAGGATCGGATACCCAAGCAAGGGCATTTCCGCGCTGAAAGGAGTGGAACGGCTCGAGTTCGCTCGGGACTGTTACTGTACAGATTTTAAATTCTTAGACGATACAGAAAATGACCTAGAAGATGATATTGGTTGCCTCGTCGAGTATATCTCACCGCGTGGTGAGGCGGAAGTACCATGGTGGAGGAATATAGAAGATGAAATGACGAGGCAACTTATACGACAAGTTCGGATTTTCAGTTCTTACGAACACGAATTTTATACAAAGAAGATTCTCGGTCTCATGCCTCAACTGCAAGCTCTCAGCCTAAGGAGCTCCCAACGCTCAGAGCCTCTCACCAGCCTTCTGTCCCTTCTGCCTCCTGAATCACATATAACACATCTCGAGATATGTGGTATCCCCTGGATGGAATTTACTAGTTATTTTTCCAAGGGCCGCTGCAATCTCCCTTGTCTACGATACCTTCACTTGGCCTTCGATTTTAGAAGCTTATGGGACACAAATAATACCAAATATACCGGTGAATGGGCAGCATTTCAATTAGAGAGCTTGATTATAACCGGCTCTCTGGGTGTAGATGCAGAGTATTTAGATCCTTTCCTTTCGGTATGGGGCAAGACCATTAGGGAGTATGTCGATGACTCCCATTCTCCTCATGGGCTAACTAAAGCGGCCTCGGCACCAAATGGGATTCCACCATTCCATCACTTTCCACAGCTGTCTCTTTATGGCACACGCTTGGAGACTATCATTACAGGATTAGATACTCAAAATCAGAGCCAAAAGGTATCGACGCCTTATCCAACCCGGAATCCACGTACATTTCTACTCAAAATTCGATATACTGGGCTCGAATGTGACCCTGAAGAGGCAGCACTTCGGTTTATAGCCTATGTCCAAGAATATGGTTTCGTGGAAGTTGTACTGAACAAAAGCTGGACCTACTTGCGAAAAATGTGGGACTTTCATAAGCCTTCAGAACCTCTATCGGAAGGGGCCCAATGGAACAAAACCTTCTTCCAGACGTTATTGAGAGAAGGTTTGAATGTTATGGACATCAATTTTATTTCTATTGGTGATGGACGATCTAGAATGCTTTGGGAGTAGGATACAGCCATACAAATTGGTTTGGGTACTACTGGATGTCGGCCTTCCCCCAAGTGTCCCTTTGTGACATATCCAACCTACTCTTCAGGAAGTTTGAAATGTTATTTTGGTAAACAAATGATCACTAAATGCCCTCCATTATATCTATTCCGGTTAGATTTGCTCACCACCTCACCCTTTCGTCCTGTGAAGGCTCATGACGTTAAATGCCACTGTTCAAAGCCTTTCAAATGAATTCTTTGTCTAACAGGAAATTGTTTTGATCTTCTAAGAGTAATAGTGAAGTAGATCTATGATTCTCATGCAGTGGAGGCCCGATACGAGTATCCACACTAAGGCTCTCATTCTTCGCTAATATTATACTCTCATTCAAAGGCCTGACGGTTAATTATGAGGTATATAAGTGAGAAAGAGCTATTTAGTGGCGCTAGGGTTAAGTGGATGACATGGGTGATTGTATGCAAAGAGACACTCATGGTCTTTTGGCACTCCCTTTCTATATTTCCTTTCCCAACTTTATCCATCATACAAAGTTCACCATTAGAAGAATGAGGGTGGGGATTAGGGGCATCAGGAGTCCGACGGTATGGGGGGTTTGCATGAGAATTTTTGGATGTCCTACTCTCTAATATAGCTCTCTTCCAGGGGTCAATATCTTTGAGCCAGTTGTATTCAACGATATCCTAATAAAGAAGGATATTAGCATGCTTTTGTGGATGAATTGAGTCCAGTGCACAGACAAGTGCCGCCAACATTGAAAATTGATTTGAGATGTTTGTGACCACACTGATGTAGAGCTTCCTGTTGGCCTTCTCACTTCAATTGTTGTCCTGGATATGATGAAAACAAAGTTCTCCCAAAACAGAAAAGAAAGAGATCAGTCAGAACAGCATATCAAGGCCTCCATCAGTGCTCACTTGTTTTGGAGGTCTGTTCGATAGATGCGTAACCATCCATTCTTATTCATCATTGAGATAATATTTCGATATGATGACCTGACGATTTGTTAGGTGATGTCAAGTGCATGCAAGTGAGTGAGAAGGAAACATTTGGCAGAGCGACAGGGGCAACTTTGTAGC